TTTTAGCATTTCATGTGGAGTCTGTTTTCTGACTTCCTCTATGTCAAAGGGCTGACATCAAGGCCAAGTCACTTGTTGTGTTATGGATACCATGCCCTAAACCAGTGTTTCTCATCCTTGGCAACTTGAAGACGTGTGGATTTAAACTTCCAGAATTCATAGCTGGCTGGGGAATTCTGGGAGTTGAAGTCCACATGTCTTAAAGTTGTCAAGGTTGAGAAACACTGATCTAAACTGATCATGGAAATTTACCACTGCTTGTGCATACAACTTGCACCAGATATGAGTCAGTTAATGACATTTAACCAGCCTGTGTGCCACTCCTTCCTTGTTGTATGTGTGGCAGAAACAAACTGAGGAAACAGACTATACTGCGTCCAACTTTAGGCAAGGGAGATCATTTGTGAATGCATCCAAGAGAAGTGGGCCAGGAGGGAGGGACACAAATGCTAGGAAATGGGCAGAGTCTTCCCCAATTGGCCCCAGTGGCCAAGGATGGAAGCAGTCAATTAGGCTGGCATTCTAAGGAAAAGAAGAATTTGGCTAAGGGCCTTAATCAGCTGCACCTATCTTCTAGATATGGGGAGTTTTTCAACACAAAGAAACCAAGATTCTTATCCCCCAATCATAATGCTCTATATGTGTAATTTGCTCCTCCCATGCAGGCAGAAAATGGCTCTTGAGAAGTCATGTCAACACCGGACCCAGAGCTATCCCACACAGGCATTTGCCATTTCCAACAATAAAAAGGTTTGTTACCTTGGTTCCTCAGGCAGCTCTTCAATAAAACCAGATTCGCACCTTGGGCAAATGTAATCCTACAGGAGGAAATGTTGTGTGAGAATGCTTTACATTCAAAAAACCAGCAAGGAGCAGAAGATGGACACCTGCAGGGTGATCTCTGGCAAGAGAATCAGCCAGCCATGGTCTAGACATCGATGTTCCATAATTCAACAGACCCAGCCTTGCCTCCACTGGTAGCTAACCTCTCCATCATGAATTCATGTCACCTACAGATTTCGCTCAGGCACAGTATTAGTATGAGTTTTTTGCACATTTGGAAAGTGAGCCAACGAGAATCCTCTAAGCTGAAAATGGCTCTATTTTCTAAGTTACAGTCCTATAGACAGAGGTCTCCATAGTGGATACTTGTGTCACATGCAAAATTATGTTCCCAAAGAAAAAGAGGAGAAACAAAGATGAATTCAAGTATTACCTAAAAACAACTACATGTGAGCTGATACGGTTTTTGGCTGAGGAAGGAGTGAGCACTGGATTGACTTGTATTGTTAGAGTTGATCTAACATTTTCTCTGAATACAGAGTGGAAGGATGCTCTGCTCTCATTAGTGAAAAGCTGGGAGAGGAACTTCATTAGTCTGCATGCTTGCATGCAACAGCAGGCTGGCATTCTGGAGAACTGTGACATATCACAAACAAGCTGCATGCCAGAACAGGTGTTCCCCAACCTTCCCAGGTTGATGGGCACATCTGAACTTGCAAGAACACGTTGCAGACATTCCTGCAAAATGGCTATTGGGGAGACAGCTTATTCACAAAATGGCAGCTATGGGGGACATAAGGGCTGACTTGCCAGAATATTCCTTTCCACCCTCTCTAGCCGACCTACCATAGAATGCTCTCTACTATTATCCTTGCTGGCACGTCCCATTTTTTAAAAAATAAAATCATTATTGAAAGATGTAGTGTTAAGAAGCTATGCAGGCACCAAGGGAGATGCAGCAGATTGCAGAACTAGCGCACAGAGCCAATCTGCACCTGGTTGACTATGTCGGCCAGCAGATATGGTTTAAGTAATTCACAAAAGGAATGCTATGCAAACCCCTTTATGGACTTTTTGCTGAAAATGGAAAAAAAAATGAACTGGTGATTTATGGATTTGATGATTAGAAAGGGTAAAATATGGGAAGAAAAGAATCATGATGTAACCTTAAAGAGGGAGGACAGATGATAAATTTATTTGTAACTGCTGTAAAGAAGATCAGAAGCCATTTCTTTATACTTTCTTTTCTTTTTCTCTTTTTCTTTTCTTTATCTATTCACCACTTTTCTTTACTCTTTTTCTTATATTTGTATAATTTTTACTATTGTATAAAATTCTTCAATGAAAACTAATTATAAAAAAGGGAACACTATGTAAAACCAGACTTGGAATTTGCAGCCGCCAAACAAGCCAGAATTTGTAAACCAAATGCCAACCCTAATTTATAATCCCTTGGAAGTGACAAGCCAGGTATCTTGGCTCAAATAAAACAATCAGCTTCCTTTTCCTAGTTAACTTACCTTATCATCATCCTCTGGCAGAAACAACCGGGCTGCAAGTAACCAGCACTCAGTTCTTTCATGGTAAGCCAGTATCCTTCAGAACCCTAGCTTCCTGTTGTGTCCAAATGCAACAATATTACCAATATTCATAATTAACCAGGCCTTTGGAATAAGCATGCATAGTACTAGGTTGTTAGATTTCTTTAACTAAGGCACCAATTTACTTTTCATGTACAAAATAAAGTTACCTCTCCATAGACATGCAGCTATGTATACCTCACCCACCTGGGATTGGCCTTCCCAACTGACTAAACTTCTCCATGTTATGGTGCTCTTTCCACAACATCTAGGCCAGACTTTTCTCATCTGGGATTTCTCCAGACCAGTGTTTCTCAACCTCAGCAACTTTAAGATGGGTGGACTTCAATTCCCAGAATTCTTCAGCCAGCCATGGGAGTTGAAGTCCACCCATCTTGAAGATGCTGAGGTTGAGAAACACCGCTCCAGACAGATGAACCTCAGCTCCCAGAATTCTTAACAGCCCTCATGCCTCTGGAGGGCACCATCTTGGGGAAGGGTACCCCCAGGCCATCATGTACAGGAGAGCTCCCCGAGTAGACAAAATCCATGTCAGGACTTGTATTCTGAGTGTGGTTTAACATTCATAATAACAAGAAGAACACATGTTAATAACGACAACTAAAGAAAAAGTAAGGTGGTAAGCTTCACCACATTCTTCAAGTCTCATGCAGCAAGGATTTGGCTCAGTGATGACAGAACACCTAACAGGTTGCCAGGAACCACAGGGCTGTGGGGGATTTATGGGGAGAAGGACAGAGGTAACAGCTCCAGCAAAGCAGACTTTGGGCCCACAGCCGTCTCAGTGACACAAAGTGAGTGCTGATTCTGTGTAGTCAGGCTTGCACTGATGAGTGGCCAGGTGTGAAGGTGGTAAGCTGCTTGGCTACAATTGAGAACCAAACTCTGAACAGGCTGAGAGAGCAGCAGAAAGCCGGTCTGCTTGGGGAAACTAGTTTGCCCAGACTGAGCACAAGGTTTCCTTGATGGATAGATGATGATGATGATATTTTCAGGATTCGCTCAGTGTGCTACGACATGGTCTGCATGAACCACAGTTTGTCAAACAAGTCATAATGGTCTTATCTGCAGATAAACTATAAAAAATCCACAAAGTCTGGATTCAAAGTCCCTCGACTAAAACCAAGCAAGCTGTGTTACAATTTAGCACAATGTATGAAATCAGCTTGTGGCTGGATTTATACACTGTGCTAAATCTTGGTTTATTTAACTATGGTTACTGAATAAAAACACTATGGCGTAGTGAGATGTGAGAACCCAATCTCTAAGTGGGTAGATAGGTGAGTGCAAGAGGCCAACTGGATTCCTACAATTGGCTGAGTTTCAACAATATATTAATCCAACCTAAGCAAACTATATCACTGATCTAAGCTTTTTAAGCATTTTATATTCACAACAAGATATAAGCCATTTTGCACTTTGCCTAGTTAGCATGATATTTTAATGCAGCCTGACTCACAATATAGGGTATTTGTTTTTGGATTAGTGTGATACACGAACCCATTCAAATAGGAATCCAAGGTTTAAAAACCATAACCAACAGATTTAAACATGCTAAAGAAAAATCAAGCAAACAATAAAATGGCCTAGCTTTAGAGTGGAAAAGGCAAACTGGATTCCTACACCATGGTCTACAACTGACTGAGTTTTAACAATACATTAATCCAAACTAAGCAAACATTACAGCATAGTGTGAAGTGTGAATCCACTTGCACACTGAATGAGTGGGTCACATATTGAGTTAATCCTTAATATAACCTGTTAGATTATGGTCTGAAGATGCTTCAGTTTAGAATCTTGTACTGATCTGCAGGTTTGGTTCAAGGGTCCAACAATCCTTTTCCACTCTAGAATTCTATGGTTCAGCATGTCTAGTGAATCTAGCCACTGGAGTTTGCAAACCACCTTATGGTTTAGCATGCTTTGTTAATCAGGTCATGAATTCAGATGCATACAGCCTGGATGGTATTCTCAGGCATCAAAGGTTTGAGTTAGTCATATTTCCAATGTCTGCTCTGAGGCTAAGCTGATGTCCTTGGAAGAAAAATGAACATGTTATTCTCTACATTTGGGTTTTTTAAAAAATCTTTTTAAAATATCATATTTAGAAGGAATCATTTAAGGACAGAGTGTTTTTCCTTAAACAAATGAATGCCAGTCCTTCACTCAAGGCATCAATTGCTGTCTCAAGATGTGGTGATGGCTACCATTTAATGTGGTTTCAAAAGTGATGCGACAGATGCTGGGAGGTAGAAAATAGCTAGCAAAAACTTATAATACCTATATATAAATTCAAGTTTCAGAAAATGCGATTCCCCATACAGCAGGTGTCAGGGACAACAGTAGAAGTGGACTAGCATCCCAAGACGCATTGGTGGACTATCTGAAGGCATCTAACTGGCCAAAGTGAAAGGAGAATGAACCACTGATTCCATGCAATTTGTACTTTGCATCCCATGCAACACTGTGAGTTATTAGTTGCAGCTTCAGACAATTTGTTCGAAACATAATGCAGGGCAAGGGTTCTTCCTAGGAGAAATCCCACTGCTGGCTCTGCTACACGAAAATTCATTCTTAACACCTCCACCAAGGTCTCCTTCCTTGAAGGCTATCTGGATGAGCTGTGAGTGCCTTTATCTAACTTTTCCCATTATGCAGTCCACTTGGCTGGGCACACAGATAATTGTTTGCTTAACCTTAATTTATTTCATAAGCTGTAACTGGCTGGATATACACATGCTAACTGATAGCCTATCGTTACAAACTTCTAGCAGGGTTTATACAGCACATTAAACTGAAACTAAATAAACCATATTGAGGTTTATCATGATGCATGAACCCAGCCAGTGTGGGTTATAATCCATCATTTACAGCTGAATGTGTTGAGCAAACCCAACAGATTTGAGTGCATTCAATAAACCATAGTAAACAAAATAATAGTCTATATACGTGAATCTTATTGGCATTTCTGCTCTTGAAATGCTAGATATAGAAAACTTTTATCTGGGGTTCTAGAAACCAATACAGCAAGCAGAGACTCTGCTTTCATTCTCATTGTCCTTTAAAATGTTTCTTAGTTGTCTTTCAAGGCCACTGCCTTCCCAAGGTGACTTACAACACTAGATAACATATTTTTAGTACAACCCACTCATAATTTGCAGTAAACCAATCAAGTATACTGCTTACCATAAAATACAAACGAATAGATTCAACGAAAACCTGCTGGAGAAGTAACACAAACAATGATTTTCAACACCAGCTTGGGGGGGAAAAAAAAGATTTTAAAATCTCTCTAAACCAGTGATGTGCAGAGCCCTCAGGATATTTTGGGAATGCCATGTTCCACAGAGCATTCAGAATATCACTGAGAATGCCATCTCTCCCTAGTAAACATTTCTAACTAAGAACTGTCGATACTGAATATTACTACCTTAATTCTGGATCCATCTTTTTAACTCCATCCCAACTTCTCATACACAGTTAGGTGGCAGCACCCTGCTAAAAACTATAGTATGTGGGATCAGATCTGGTTAGTATTTGGATGGGAGACCACCAGAAATCCCAAAGCTGCAAACATCCTGGAAGGAGGCAACAATAAGACATTTCTGTACTGTTGACAAGGAAACCACATTGATGTTGAGTCTGACTCAAAGGAGAACATACCTTTGCCTATCTTTCCTTGCAATTATCTCCACCCTAGCAGATATTCTTCCCACCCAGCCCTTGGCTGCTGTTCTGCTTGCACCATTTCTACTCACAAATTCCTCTGACTCAGTTGACCACAAGCGTATGAACAGCTGCTGCCTCTGGTAGTGAAGATACCATGCAGGGCCAAAGTCTATCCTTGAATATTAAGTATTAGGGAAAAAAGAACATTTTTAAATCCTCTCTGATCTCTTCTAAAGCATCTGGCTGAAGCTAAATTAAGGGAAACAGAAGTAACTTTTAGCACTATTGTTCTAAGCAATAACAGCACAGATGTAGCTTCAGAGTTCATCCACAACATCTGGTCATCACAGGAAAGTGCTTCATGCTAATTTTCAAGCCATAAACTTTACACCAGCCTTCTCCATAGGATACCCTCCAGGCATTTGTGACTACAACTTCCAGAATTCCCAGAAGGGAATAGCCTTGGAAGTCAGTGTCATTTCCCCTGCACTGCAGATGTAGGATATTGAGGCATAAAGCAGAAGCCAGGGCATACATTGCACAGTGCCATAACATTGGTTCCTTGGTTCAGATTTAGAGCAACATATGATTCCAGCCATTGTGAATTATAAACCATGGATTTTGATGTAAGGTTGTGAAATCAAACCACTACAGCTTGTTTGGTAAACTATGGTTTACAATGCATGAACCCAGCCTGACAGTCAGTTGCTGAGTATAATAGTAATGATTAAACTTGTATGCTGCCCAACTCTATGATTCTATGAAATATAAAGTGGGGATTGCCTGGCTCATAGCTCAGTCTTTTAACCATTATAATATACTAGCTTCTTGAATGAATGAGGCATCTGGCTAGCCACTGATGAAACAGAACCCTGAGCTAGATAGAACTTTAATCTTATCTAGAAGGCCTTTGTATATTCTTAGGAAGGGCCAGGTCTTTTGATTGACAACAAATAAGCAGAATAGGCTAAACTGGGTCTGCTTGTTCAGAGGGAGTAACAGAGGGTGAGGACAACAAAAAGTATGTATGTGTGAGAAAGAGCAGTATTGTTTCATGTCTGGCTTCTGGGCTTCCCACTGGGTTCTCTGAAATCAGGAAGCTGAGCTAGGTAGGCTTACCTTGCTCTGATCTAGCAGGGCTCTTCTTACACTCATATACATCTTTATGGAAGTCGAGTCCATCCACAGCCATTAACCAACAGGCTTTTAAAAGGAAAAGGAGAGGACCACTTACCATGAAAGCTAAAGCTGGATCCAGCCTCTAATTAAATGCTGAAAATTGTTAAAAAGCCATCCTGGATCAATAGGTGTAACTGAGAAAACCAACAAGAAGCCCTGTTGACTCAAACCAAGATAAGCCCATTTTGTCCAAAACTATGCACATATGAATGCCCTAATGGAAGTCCACAAGATGGACCAGAAGGCAACCCTTATCCTCCACTATTTTATCCCTTCAGCAACTAACCAGAGGTTACCACCTCTGAAAACTACCCAAATGACAGACATCAAGGGTGGATGGTTGTGTTCAGATATAAAGGGGAGAGATAATACATGAAAAGCACTGAATCACTGAACAAGAAGGTATTTAGGTAGCCATCTAATTCAACCCCCTTCTCAGTGCTTTCTGTGTAGGACAGATCACCACTTCCATAGCCCATGTATTTCACTGTTACACAGTTTTACTATTCACAAGTTCTTGGTGAAATATGCTTCTCTCTGATTTTAACCTGCTTATCCCAATCCTGCTCTCTCGAATGACAACCCAAGTCTTTCAACAGTTCTTCATAATGCTTGATTTACAAACCCTTCACTATCTTGATTACCTTTAATTCTGTCCATGGCTTTCTTAAAATGTGGAATCCAGAACAAAACATATTATTCCAGATGCAATCTTAACAACATAGAACATAAAATGAAATTATTACTGGCTATGATCCAATCAACTCATGTTAACTAAAATAATTACACACTCCTTCATTTACTGATGACCCATTTCCCATCCTTCTCATCTGTCTTTCTAAGTCTATTTTAAACTGTACAACACTTGGGATACAAGCCACTATACCCGCTTTTTGCAAAGTGACATGTGCACAGATTCCAGAGAAGTAGTAATTGTGTTAGTCTTCTGCAGCCAACCAAACACCTCATGCATCTTAAAGTATCAGATTAATTATATATGTTCATGAAGTGGGCAATAAATGCAATAACTGAGTGAAGCCTTAATATACACGGATGACATAATATGTAAGAATGCCATTAACATTTTATTCATCCGACCTAAGACTACATTTAATTAGCAGTGCATTAAACTATTGGGTTGTGTTCAACTTGTGATACATTAAGACACACAACCTTTTCTTATGCGCAGCACTAAAGCTATACATGTAAAATAGGTTGTTTTAATTGTCCCACCTGTAGTTATGCTCTAGGGCTTTTTTTCCTTTTGGTACTGATGGGTTCTTAGTGGAAAGCAGGATGTGAGAGGATGTCCTCTTCTGCAGCAGCCCTTGCAGTAATTTGCTTCTGGGATATACCATTTTTATGAAATAAATGTCAACAGAGGTGCCTCAGGGTGTCCTAAATGAGGGTCAGGAAGCCTGTAGCCTATCCAAAGTCCCTCCAACACGTCCAACAGTCAGGGGCAGCTAGAGCCAAGCATTTGGAGGCCTACAGGCTCATCACTCCTGCTTTAACAGTATATCAAACAATGAAACCAGTCTCCCCCAACCTGGCATGCTTCACATGTGCTAGATTTAAGGACCCATCACTCCCACCGAGCAGCAGGAACAGGTGATAGGAGGTGCAACCTAGTAGAGAAAAATCTGGAAAGCCACAGATCCCCACTTCCCACTTTCAATGAATCCTCCATGTACGCGGCTAGTCTACCTTGGGTTACCAAGTGGGGGAATGAAGGCGGAACGAAGATCGAAGGATTAAATTAGCCTTCAACAACTTGACACTCTCCAGATATTTCAAACTACAGTTCCCATCACTCTCAGCCATCAGACTAACGGCCATGCTGGATGGGGACGGTGGGAATTGCAGTCCCAGCTTATCAGGAGGACATCAAGCTGAAGACGAATCAGCTCCGGTATTATCATCACCACCGACCCTTCTCTTTCCCTCCTCACCGGTAAGCGCGGCGCGATCTCGGCCGAGCAGCAGTGGCAAAAATACCGTCCCGGCTGCGGGGAAGCCTCCGCCATCTTGCTTCCTCCTTTTCCTCTTTCCTCCCCCCCTTACAGGGAGTAAGACCGCCACACGCTGCGTCAAATTACGTCAAGACGCTTGGCAACGCAAATTTTCTACGGCGGCCGGGCAGGTTTAAGGGCGGCCCATCTCTAAGCAAAGGAGGGGCGGGAAGTCAGAGCGCACAGACTTCTGCCTCCTAGTCCTAGACCGGCAATTTCCGCCGGAAGTGAGGGCTGCCTATGGAAAGGCCGAGAAGAGGCCGGTTGGGGAGAGGGGTTTCGCGGGTGCGCCACGAGGCTGCCCTACATACCGCCGGGCAGAGGGAGGGTCTTGCCTGCGATTCTAATCCGGGTGCTTGCTTTTCAAAGCACGTGACCTCTTCCTGTTTTCCAGTATCCGTGTTCGCGCGACATGCGGAGTAAAGTGCGGTTGGCGCTTCGCGGTGTAATGCGAGCCCGCCCGTTCTTCCTGTCTCGTTTTTTTAGGTCCCCTCCCCGCACTGCAAACTACGGAGGGGAGTCAGCGGGCCTGATGGGCAACTTCATTAAGCTTTCCTCTTTTTTAGCGACTGAATAGCATCTTTGCAAAACACGCTTGATCTTTAATTCACTTGGTTTAGCAGGGGGTGCAGATTAGATCTGTTTCCCTCCTGAAGTGGCATCCAGCAAAGTAGAGAGACGGGGGTAAAAATTGGGTGGTGGTGGTAAAGAAGTATCATCAGTTGAAACTGAGTTTGTGGACCTTTTAAAAATCACTAGGGGGCGCTTGCTTCCTACTGTATTTTTCTGTTCTGCATAAAGAGTAGCATGTTTTCGATAATGTAACTTAATAGATCAGAGTAGTCCTAGACATTGATACGTAATATGTGCTGTCGGTATTATCGTAGGACTTTTCTCCATGCATCTCAGACTGCCTGGCTTTCATTACCTGAGGATCAGGTTGTTTCAAGGGCGGGAGGTCTGAGTTTCAATTTCTGCTTGCATTTTCATTTCAAAGGAATAAGGGTACTCTTTTTCTGAGACATTAAAGACGCTGCCAGGTAGAGAGGCAACGACTGGCTTCACCCACTGCACTTAGCCCAAGTGTGGTTTCATTTTTGTGGCATAGCGCATTGTGCAGACCCAGTCTATTGTGGCTTCATCAGCAAATTATGTCTGAGTATAATGCATACACCCAGGCAATACTGAGGTGGACATTTGCATCTGATTCTAGACTTTCCTATCATCCCTATTTCCAAATTCCCCTAATGCATTTTACTAATACAAACACTGTGCCTGATTCTGGAAGATACTTGACCATGACTGCTTGTACATCTCTTACAGTCAAAACTGCTTCTACTGTATATGTATTTTGTGTCTTCCAATCAGTCTTGACTCCTGGCAAAAAGACCATATGGTTTTTTGGGGCAATGTGTTTCAGAAGTGGTTTGCCACTGTCTCCTTCCTAGGGAAAAGATAGAGATCCAAAGTCACCCAGCAGGCTTCTGTGCCTAAAGCAAGATTAGAACTCATTCTCCTGGCTTCAAGCCCAGTGCCTTTAACCACTACACCAAACTGGCTCTTGTTTCTACAGCACCCTACCAAAAAAAGTTATGGTAAGTGGTTTTGAGTTGTGGGAGCTGAATAATGAACCTTATACAAAAGGCTTAGACGGGGTGGGGGGACAGCAATCTGTTTGTTACTAAATTTATATTCTACTGTTCTGTAAAAATAACATGTGGAGCAGCTAATAATATTGTGGATAAAAACAGGATTAGAATGAAAACATTAGTAACAATTAAAAATAATCAGTGAAACAAGATATACAGTACTGTAAATAGTACTCACCAGTTAAAATCTACTTCAGTAATATCTTAAAGCCTATATGCTGTCTGAATAAAAACATGTTTACCTGTTAGTGGAAGGACAAAGCTAACCTTTTGCGGGAAAACCAGAGCTGCAGATAATAGACTTCATGTTGATGAAAAAGTGGATTATAGGAGCTTAGGGTCTATAAAGGCATAGCAATGTGCATTTGAGATTTTTAATGGAAAAAAAGAAACTATCCAGACTCATTGGATGGATTCACCCATTGCATTAAACCAGAATGTTGGTTTTACCTTAGTGTTATGTGAACCCAACCATTGTGTGCAAACTATTTTTATGGCTGTATTGTGCTTGCCCAACTCCTACAGTTTGGTCAATGAACCATGGTTAAAACACAGCACAATATGGGGAATTACTTAATTCTATGTCACCTCTTAAAGAATACCAGCCAAAAGGGCAAATAAACATCTTTATTAAGATGGAAAATATATTGCCAATTTATTGTGCAGGGTCCAAAAGGTCTCCCTTCAGTTTTATTTTAAAGAAAAGTATCTTAGGCTATGCTTACCTGAACTATTCTAGGGAATTCCTCCCTTCCCCACCACTTGTTATTTTTCAGTAAAGTCTATTATTGATGTTAAATCTCACATTAGAAACAAAGGTAGTCCTAAGGAACTGGTTAGGCAATATTTTACTCAAACAAGTGTGTGGAACTGAATTTTCCAGAACTTTTCATTAGGCTAAGTAAAAAAAAACCCTAAAAGTTGTTTAAACTGAAACAAAGATGTCCTCTTCCCCATTGCCTCTGTAAGCCTTCACTCATGTTGATTTTTAGATGATCCATATTTTCATTTTTTGCACAGCATCATACAGCACTGCTGTCACTAGACAAAATTACAATGTCTATTTCTAATTCTCACCATTGCCAAACCTGTCCTCGCTGATTAAAGTTTTCTTGGCGTGAATAATATTTAGGATGTATACAGTCATTTTAAAGTGCATGCTCCACATTATTTTGGAAAGGGATCGGAACCTTAATGCTGGAGCATAAGCTTGATGAGTTTGTATCATCAGAACCTCCCAATAGGTTTGGCAACAAGTGATGTGAAAAGCCTTTTTGCCTGTGAAACAATGAAATATTGCTGTTCCCAGGTTAAAGGGTATAACTCAGCCTCCTGTTTCTACCTTCTTGCAATCTTTTCAACAGACCAGAAAGGTAAGTCAATATTATTATCCCCCTATGGCAGATGGGAAGGCTTAAGAACATAAGAAGGTACATTATGACACACTAGATTATTTATCCATTTGGCATCCTGTGAGCAAAGTAATTCGTTCACCCATCCCCCATTGGATGTTTGTCATTCAAAACATGTCCAAAAAGTCAGAGGCAGCCATTCTTTTTAAAGAGAATGAAAAGAAGACTGATAAAAGTGGTACCTATACCTTTTATCCTCATTTCAATTTAGGTACCATGTTCACATGTACACACACACACACATATATATATGGCATACACCTTTGAAAGTATCTTTTTCTTTTTTTAATATTTCTTCAACTTTACAAGGTTACAATCATCTTAAATATTTCTGAAGTTTAAATACAATCTGTAATAATGTTATAAAATGTAAACTTTTCAGTGTTTTTATTTCTCTATTAAGTCACAAAGGTTAATACCTGAATGTTTTGCGAAAAAAGTGATTTTTTAAAAAAAAACAAAAGCAAAAACAAACAAAAACAAAGTACAGAGGCCAGGAGACAAAAGGCAGCCCAAGGCCTACTGTTTTCAGAGGTAGAATGTGGTTTCTTTTACGATTTTTATTTCTTATTACCTGAGTCAAAAAACTACATACGCTGTACAGATTGCATACCCTTGCTGTATTCGGTTTTTTTCATTCAAAATCCCCAGAGAAAAACTGAAATTACATCTTATTTTAAGCTGATATGCAAAGGAGAGCGGGGGAGAATACTATGTTCTCCCAACCCCAAAATCAAGACCTCCCCTCAACACAGTGTTTGTACAAATGCAAGAACAAAAACACCCTTTTACTACTAACTAAAGCCATCCCTTACCCCTTTTTGCAAGAATAAAAATAAGCCAATAAACTCCCCCCAAGACAAAACTTGATTGTAGATTGAGCAAGTTAGAGAGCATTGCTTGAGGTCTGTAAAAAAGGTGGTGGATTTAAAATGCTAAGTATGGTACAGCATGTGCTATTAAATAAGGAGGGGGCAGGAAGAATTATTCCTCAAAGAGATTGAGCGATCTGCATCACCACTTCCACCTCAGGTCTCCTTCCTTTTACCCTATACCAGTGTTTCTCAACCTTAGCAACTTTAAGATATGTGGACTTCAACTTCCAGAATTCCCCAGCCAGCATGGCTGGCTAGGGAATGCTGGGAGTTGAAGTTCACATATCTTAAAAGTTGCCAAGGTTGAGAAACACTGCCCTACACCCTTGCCTTGGAAGGCCTCTGCCTTCAGTAGAAATTTAAAGCAGAAATTGGAGAAAGTTTTCCATGAGTTGCCATCTTCCTCTCAACTTCCTGCTTACAATCCCTCCAAGGCACTCATGCAACATTTCCAAAATCGTTAAAGAATCCGGAATGTTCCTTATAGTTGGTTACAATTAACCGTAATTTGTTTTCCCAAAAAAAAAAGTTTGCCAAGCTAGCTTCTTAAATGTCCAACAGTTAAGCATAAAAATAGGGTCTCCTCCCCCTCCTGTAACTGGAAACACTAAAACCAATGCTGGGGCTCTGTTGTTTTGAAAGTTTGAAAACAAAAGCAGAACATATTTTAAACCCACCACCACCTAAGTCACAGCCACAGCAAGCAAATCTGAACTTTTTTTAACCCGCCCTTATTCCGATACCCTTCCCTCCCCCGAATACAATCAAGATCTAGACAGCAGGTTCAATTCCCCTGAGTTACAAATCCAATCCTTAGTCAAAAGCTTGGACTGAAAAATAAATTTTATACCACGTTTCTTAGACACACACACACACACACACACAATTACACACTCAAAAAGGAAAAAAGACACAAACATACACACTCATATATATATATATATATATATTTATATAAATTTAGTTATAGAATCTTTCTTCTCCACCCACCCACACACTAGAACCCTCTTTCATGTTTAGGGGAAAAATCCCAAGACCCACCCACCAATAATGAATAGAGTGACATGCTTAGTGGACAAACAGGTTGCAAGGGTCTCTCATGCAAAATTGGCAGAAATTTAAATTATTTCGATTGAGACCAGTGAATTCCAAAGAAAGAGCTACCAAAATGAGGAACCAAGAGTGATACCTTGCACTTTGTAGCTCCTGAAAGCTGTCACAAGGTTTGGCGACATTTGGACATTCTTATGGCTAAAATACACACACATCCTTTGCCAAGCCTCACAATCTCTTTGTAACATACAGCAAAACAAGCAAAGAGCTTGTTTTAACCAGCTTCCCCATAGTCTGAACTGATCATCAAAAGCTGGAATAATCTGGGACATTAAAGCATTATTTGAAGCTGGATTAATATCCTAGCTTATTCCAAAGCTAATAACCACTGTTTTCCCCCATTCCAATGAAATAGAAAACTACAGCTAATTACTTTAATTGCAGCTCCCACATGGAACAGCATACATGAGAAAGACACTTGTGCATATGTTACCTTACTAAAGGAAGGTAGAAGGGCCTTTGTCTCTCTACAACAAGCAGCCACCAGAGGAGGGAACAATGCTTGGCCTAAAATTTGACAAGATGGATACCCTAATTGCCTGTTTGTTGAGGAAGGAACTGCATATTCTTTAAAACATCTCTATGTTGCCAGGGGAAGATTGTCCATCCAACAGGTAGGTAAAAAAATTTCCCTCTGAGGATGGAAGAGGAGTGATACACAGGATGACATGGATCCACAATTCACAACAAAAAGGCTGCTTTAACTTATTCTAACCAATTATCTAGCAAACAGATGTTTGGGAAGCAGAGACACAAAACAGAAAGACACCGTCTCAATACACTCACCTTATTTCACAGAACGATACAGAATACAGGAGCAGTTTCTCCCCACCCTAATGTGGCTGAACTCTTGCCTGTGACAGTTTCACCCACTTTATAGTCAACATATTCAACACACAACCATACTCGTTAGACCTCGGATAACTTGTTTACATATCTCCTACTTACAGCTAAGGTTAGACCAGGAATAATTTGCTTAAGAAAGGAAGATGACAGCAGAACAATTTTGCACCTTGGGCATGGTTTGCAGGGACATAAATCTTGGGCCAAATTTGGATAATCATTTTAAGAAAGCATGAAAATACAGATTTTTTAAAAAGCCTTGAAATGGAATATTCAATGGAATATTCTGTTGAAAGAAACAAAATAATGTTGGTCATCTGGCAGAGAATATAGATACTGATTGAATTTACTGGCAATTGCAACTGAAAGTTTTGCTGGGAAGAAGTAGAGATTTTTTCATTGCCACACTTACAAAGCCCACCTCAGACATAACATCTAGAAATCAACTTCCATTTTAGCTTAGCCGAATCCTCTGAGATTTCCACAAAAGTCGAGAACTCTGCTTTTTAAAGCCCAACGAGGCACATCCCAATGTAGTTAGCTTATGCAAAAAAGGAATCAAATGCTTTCAGCTGGTTCCACCTGGGTGTGTGTGTGTGGGTGTGTAGGTTGGATCAGAAAATAAAAGGGGTAGACAGTCTTCAGATCCCACAGAAGCCCTGGAACATCAAGCCTTCACCAGCTGGACCTCTTCTAGCAATGGTACCACCACAGTTCCCAGAATTCCTTAGGCCACGTTGTCTGGGCATTCTGGGAGTTGCAGTCCTATCACATCTGGAGGGAATTGTGTTGGGGAATGCTGATTCAGCATAGAACACACACGCGCGCACACACACACACACACACACACAAAATGAACTGTGGTGAAGGTTGTGAGGGGAAAGGCTCCAACTTAAAAGCTAGTCTTCACAGAAAGTCTCAAAATGGCAGGGTAGTCCATGGGTAGGAATGCTTTCAGATTGGGATCTGATACCATCTTGTTATCAAACCAATGGAGCACAGATGAAATTATGAGGGACGCCTTGTGCCGATGCTCTCCTCCCTTTGGCTGCCCACAGGTCACAGACAAACCCTCTGGCAATGACCGTGGGCGGAAAGAGAAACATGTTTCTTCCTCCACCAACCAGTCAGCATCTAACTAGAGAAGAAAAGCCTTTCTTGAAAGTGCACCTGGCAAGAGGCATGTCTCCCTCCGTTCCCAACCTGTGTCAAAAGAAAGTTCATTCTGGAAGCAAAAGAGGCAGAAAGAGAGTTTTTCCCATCTAAAAAGGGTTAGATCCACCAATTCCACTTTAAGAGCACTTTTTCCTTTTCCCTTTCATGGTTAAGCCACTTCACAGTTCCTCTACACCCCTTAGAAGCCAATCTACTGGATTTCTCTCTCTTAAGAGGCCACTTTTTTCTCCCACGAGATACCCTCTGCAATCCTGAGAATGGAAAAACTCCCTGTGGGTGGCAGCTTGTGGGGCTCAGGGTGCTCCATTTGGCTCATCTCAGAAAGCCAAACCATCCTCCTCCTCCATCATTTAAAGACAACATGCTTTCCCCCATGTTTCTAAACATATACTTGTAACCCAAGGGATTTCACCTTTATCTGGCGTTAGAGGGGAGGGGTTGCAATGCTGAACTACAGCAAAAAGGCCCCAAACAGACTGAAACACCTGGGGGCTGTAACTTTGGGAAACAGCTCAATGTGGCCCGGACGCTCTGCTTCCAAGAGTGAAGTGTGCCCCTTTCAGAATCTGCAGAAGCTGAAGATAGGCTGACTTTTCTTTAGCGTGCCCAAGAGCCCCTTGAGCCACAACTGTGAATTCTCCATAGGTCAGCCTTTGCTAAATTGGCACCCAATCAAAAGTGTGGGACTCCATCTCCTAACACCCCCCACCAAGCATCCTGTCTGGGGCATGATGAAAATGATCATCCAACTGGGTGTAACGGGTTATTCAGTGAGGTTGAAAAATGCCTCCTGCTTGAAAATGCTGACATACTAACTCAAATAGTTTCTGTTATGCTACATCAATTACAATATCTCAGAATCTCACTTAAAAACCAGCCCTAAGGGAAAGGGTTACCACACTCCAGTATATTGTATGATGCAACTAAGTGATAGCATTAAAATCCCAGTAATGAAGAGGAAGAGAGAACATATACCCGCTTCAAACCCCATAAAAATTTGCAGAGCTCACTTAGACTAACCACACAGAAAATTACAACATGCCAAAGCAAAAAATCTTAACTCTAAGGTATGTGATTAACATTGGGAGGGAGTCAATGATAAAGCAACATCTTCCAACTATGTCTCTACCTAGTTTTCAAGGTTCTGTCTCATAACAGGGTAAATCCACAAATAGCATCTCTCTTATAGAGGCTCCATTTCTTTGAAAGTGGCACTCATTTAATTGCATGGGCTGAAATAAATTATACTTTTAGAGGGTATGAAGTGAGTGAATTGGAGTGCATATACCCTAGGAGAATGGAGAGAGGGAATTAACCAAATTGCTCACCTCAGTCTACTTCCCTCAGTGGCAAATTAAAAGGGGGGGGGGGGGAGCCATCAAAATAAGCATGGGGCTCTTGCAAGGGAGAATGAATATCTTTTTGATGTAAAGTTCACCGGCCTTTTGGAATAGAAATGCTCAACTCCAAAGGATTTTTTTCTAAAATGCATTAAAGGAAGAGGTCAGAAGGAAGAGAGAAGCTGAAAATGGTGGCCCTGAAAAACATAATAGTTTTTGAGATTGTGAACATGATGTTTCCAAGCTACCTTTCTATATTTTGCAGAGAAGGACCAGAGACTATTTCTGTCACCTCCTCTGTAACTGCAAAAAGCAATGGGGAAAAAAATCAAGGTAGATGCCTCTTTTTCAGCTATTCTAAAGCAAACCCAAACACAGCTACTCAGAGAAAGAATGCTAGAAGACCAAACCATGGAGATCCCAGAAAGCTTTGAGTTTGGTGGGTCGGGGAGGGGGGCAAAATGGAGTGATCTCTGCTAGAGATGATGGAAGATATTTGTCCTGCAGATCCTTTGATTCCTTGTAAATGAAATTATAAATAGGGCAGGAGTGATTCTGGAGTGGCACAGACACCCCAACAGTGCTGGAGACTGGTAGAACCCTACACAACCCCATACAGTAGTCAGGCAAGCTTCACTAAAACTGCCCAATCTCATTTTGGAGGCACAGGACAACCCATAACAAGTTTCTCATTCCCATGTTCCAAATGTATCTGAATGCTAGCAAGGAAGCCAGTCTTAACGTGGTCTGAGGAGTTAGATCTACAGTACTTCTAACAAATCATGCTTAAAAAGGAGGGTGGGATTAAATGTAGGTAGCTGACAGTTGACTGAGAACTATGGGGATTCTGTAGTGCACCCCCACTATAATTCCCACCAGTGGGAGAGAAATCATGGTGACTATGCCACTCCCTTCTGTTTTCTAAATAGGTGTGCTTTGAAAAGAAGCTTGGAAAAAAGCAGCTTTGCAGAAATTTGCCACAGGTAAATGCTACTATTTAAATTGTTTTTAAGAAACATCTGAAGCAATCAACCACCGTTACTGTATGACAGACAGAATCTTCTGTAGGTTAAGATGAATTAGAAGAGACCCAACAATTAAACAGCTGGCAGGCTGCTCCTTTCAGTCCTCACTCTCACATACGTACAATCCATACGTGGGGTGAGGCAGCTCTGTATAAAAATATCCTATGAAATGCTACCATAGCCCCTCAAACCCCACCCACTCCACACACAAAAAACTACCTGAGCACCCTCAAAGCCCTACCCAGATCTGGGGGGGGGGGGAAGAGGAAGAAGTCAGACAGCTCCAAAGAGTTGTTATTATAGCAAGATAAAAAGAAGAAACATATTTTAGAGGTGCTTTCCCTAACAAATGCAAATACATGAAGCTTGCTTTATGAGTCTAATTTGGGAGAGGAGAGAGAGATCTATTGAAAATAAACACTGTATTTACACCCTCCCTTTCATTTTCCTTAAATAGTTTGACAGCAGTTTTCAAAAAGGCAAGGAATAAAGCTTTCCCCAAATTATCCTCAATCTGTGAAATCTTTGATATATGTATTTTTTTATTTAGGGTTCCATTTCAAAGCAAGCCTGTGAGAGTGGAGGCACACCCACTGCCGCCACTGCTACTTGTCTGGAGGTATCCCAAAGAATAATTTAAAAAATAAAATAAAAATCAAAAGGACACACAGTGCAAAGTGTGGATTTGCATGAGGTAAGGAGTTATGGATCTACAATGCATTACGTCAAAAAGCTAGTCTGCACAGTATTGCTCCGGCTCAGAATTTAACAACACCCCTCCACCCCACTTAGCTTTTGTGTGGTTGTTCTTCCCAATGTTTCTTTCCAAATGGAAGCAGCCTTCCCCAAATTGGTGCCCTCCGGGTATGTAGGGACTGCAGTGCCCAGGACCCCATGGAGCACAACCCTAAACAGAGAATACCAAACAGGGAAAGAATGCTTTAAAGGGGAGGAGAAAAAAAAACCCCAGCAGAGGAAGGAGGACAGGAGAGAACCATCACTCCAGGTACTCCAGTTCCCCAGAAACTGAGTGCTAAATCTGGTTTGGTGTTTGGTTTTCAGCTGTGGTAGGAAAAAAATGCACTTTGTTTTCTTAATGTTTGTCCCAACCTGGGACAGTACCATCCCTGAACTCCTTGCTGCCTGGGGGGAGGGGGGAGTTTGCACCTTTAGAGACCACCTACACTATTCTTGTTACCCCTTGATGTCCATGGCTGGATGCCACAAGCGGTTAGGTTCATCACTGATTCCCCCACCACCCTGCTCCAAAATCCGAGAAAACCCCATCCAAATGTATCACTCAGGTCCTGATGCCTGGGGGTATCAGAGGGTGGGGAAGGCACAATTTCACTCCCCCACTGCACACGGGGGAACAGGTAAGGAAAGGGCCGGTCTCTAATGTACTGTCCAAACGGCGTCTTCATTTTTGCGGGATGGAGGAGGAAGAAGAGGTGGTGGGGTTTAAGGCGATAAGGAGTTGGTTGAGGTAGAAGTCGGTGCAGGGGGCACACCAACTTGTGAACCTGCTGCCGTGCCACCTGTTGCACCACTGCCACCACCACTGCCGGTGCTGCTGGAACTCCGCCCACTGTTGGCGCTTCCTTTATTGTGAGAAGTCGAGGCTCCTGGAGTTTGAGCAAACAACACTCCTGGAGAGAAACAGGGAAGAGGAAGAAACAAAAATTGATGGGGCAAATCCCCAACTGCTGTAACTCTCCTTCTCCCCAGCCTGTCTTTTTTGCAGCTTGCTATCATAACTGAAGCCCCAAAACTAAGGTATCACCTTTCAGCAATGTAACCCATGTGGACTTATATGCTAAGGTTAACTAAGGAGAGCAGTACATTAAAGTAAGCATTTCATATAAAAACTAAGATCTCTTAAAGCAGAGATGTCACACTAGATAGCCAATCTTGGCTGATCATGAAAAGCTCAGCAGAGTCTAATCTGGTTAAAACTTGGATGGGAGCTTTAGTCTGGACTGGGAAGTCAAATAAACACACACACCCCGCCCCCAAAAAGGCACTGACAAACCACTTCAGTAACGTAGCCAGGAAAATGACATGACGTCACCCAGAGTCAAGCTCAAGAGGCTCTCTTAGTATGTTGGGGGGAACCTGCAGCCTCTAAACTGCATATAGTCCCTGGAGTCCCCAAGGGTTTCTGGCTTTTTTAAAGGGTTAAAATCAGTACAAGATTAACACCCTTCTTTTGCCATCAAATGCATGCATAAAAAATGCATGCCCCCTCCCTCTCTGATGATATCATTATGTCACTGCCACCCACCTTGCAGACTAAAAAAAATAAAAAAATACCCCCAAACTGCAGACCCTCCCTTTGTGTGATTTGCCACCTTTTTCTAAGTTAACAGAACATGAGACAGTTTATAGAACAATTAACTCTTGTCTTAAATAGGTAAGGCCACCCATTTTCTCTCTCTAGATCCCAACTGTATTTTTCCCTTACCTGCATACACGATGCCATTGATCTCGACTGACATGCTAATGCTACTGGTGCCATTGGCAGCCAGGTTCATGGAAGAGTCTTGGCGGTTTTCTGTGGAAGAAGAAAGATGCCTCTTTTTAGATACCAAAGCTGATCTTTTCCATGGAGGGGAGTTAGTAATTAGGTTAAAGCAGCAATAAATTAACTTCTGGGGTACCCATACTTGGCTTATAAACTGGAAATATAATGGGTAAGGCTGAAAATAAGCATATGCCACTATTGTAAATGGAAAATCAATGTAGTCTCTCAGCTATCTGAATCTGAGTATGTCAAAATCCTCACATACTGTTAAAAAGAAAGATCCTGACAGCTTGAAGGCAAATCATTAAAAGACGCAGATCTTGGTTTTCACTGAATTGTGGGGGAAAAAAATTCTAGATTTATGCTAATAAAAATGACAGTGATTAGTTTGTTGCTTGAGCACTCAGTTATCAATCCAGGCCTAGTTAAAGCAGGATAAAATGATGCAGAAAAAATACAGCTGGCAGACTACTCAAAAGAAATAATGCAAACTTGCTTGATTCATATCATTTTACACAGATTAAAGAATCTTTTTTTTTATTCATCATATTTATATAGCCGCCCATCTCACGAAACATGACTCTACACAAAAAACAGACCATAACAGACGTTTACTTGGAAAGTAAACTTTCTAGCCAGAGTCACATGTTTCTCCTTTAGCAATAGGTGCAAAATGCTTCCTTATGGGAGTTAACTACAGGTAGTCCTCACTTACCGACCACCCAAACTTACGAGAGCGCTGAAAATAGAGACAACCAGTCCTCAAAATTGTAGCCATTGCAGCGTCCTTGCAGTCACGTGATTGCAATTTGGGCATTTGGCAACCAGCCTGTATTTATGATGATCATAGCGTCTCGTGGTCACCATTTGCAATCTTCACAGCCAGCTTCTGAAAAGCAAAGCCAATGGGGAAGCTGGCAGGAAGTTGCAAGTAATGGTCATGTGGCGCTGCGCTTAACAACCATGCCACTTAGCAACCGAATTGCTGGTCCCTATTGCAATTGGTAAGTGAGGACTACCTGTACTCTGAATACTTCAGGCTCCAATATGCTGCAGTCCTGAACAACCCTTGGGCCAGGGTGCATGGCTTCCATTTCCACCCCAAGTCTGGCATTACTATTAGTGTTTGGGGAAGGGGAGGGAACATCCAGGACCCCACCAACCTGGTGAGCGTGCCCCTTGACTGTTGATCCGGATGCTCATCGGCAGCTGAGCGGTCATGGCGAGCAAGTTTTGTTGGATTGCCCTTTGCATCAGACGCTGCTGTTCATCTGTCACAAGTGCCATCTTCTTTTCTGGCGGCTCCCCTGATTCCAGCTTCTCCCGCAGCTGTTCCAACGCAGCAGCTTGAGCAGCTACAGCAGCTTGGGCTGCTGCTGCTTGCACAGCTGCAGCCTGCGCTGCGACGACAGGATGGCTTGCAAGTGAGACGGGCAGGCGGGTGGGCACTGGGATGGGAATTGCAGAATCTTCCTCTGGTGTGGGGGGGGGAGTGATGGGAGAGGTAACTACAATGGTTCCAGGGCTTCTTTTAGAAAACACACACACAAAATAGGTGCAGCTGGTAAAATTATAGCCTCTCTAGGAGACCGCTCCCATAATCTCAGGGAGGTGGTGTTAACAGAAGTAATCAGTTAAATTAATGTGATTAATGAAGCAGCTGCAGCTTTTTATTTTAGGCTCACATGGAACTAAAAAAAAAAAAGGTTGGGCTGCTTTTATGAATAAAAGAGGTACAGTGCTTATGCAAGATCTGAAGTCTTTCTTCCAAATCATTTTTGAAGAGCGCACAGTCCTACTCCTTTACATGCTCAAACCCTTCTTCTGGCCAATTTTAGTTTTTTTTCATGGGAAAGGGGCTCTAAATTCTGGTGTTCATTTAGTGTTTCCCTTTGCAGCATCTTTCTCAGCAAGATTCAAATGTTCTGAGCCCAAATCCAGTCTGCAGAATTTCATTATGTATCAACTTTCAGACTCAGCACCAAATCTGGGGGAAGACATTAGCTGATTCAGGCAGTGCACTTACACATAGAAGTCACCACCCAAATAGAAATAAGCAACTTCTCCCCTCTGTTAACTTACATTGTGGCACTGGTCAGCCTCTGCCTGACTGCAGCCTTTTTCCTTCACTGAAGGAGCTGCTCTCCACTACTTGAGCAATTGTATGGCCTGAATGAAGCTGCTTGTTAAACATGCAGGATTTTTATCGATGCACGCAACCCAATTGATAGACTCTTGATTTGGCCACTGTGAACTTTAGAATAGTATTTCTACCCGTGAAGAATTAGGAAAGCTACTATACAGAACAAAAAATACACTTCAACACTGTGAAGTCAACTGCAAGAGGCAGATTTTAACCAGGGTTTTTTTCCCTCAAAATTCTGAGAGGCCCAGGAGCAAAAGGTTCATTTGTACCATTCTGTACAAATCCATTTTTCTCACAGCATCTTATGTTAATGATATCTTTATGCCATTGTTTTTATTAATCTGAATTGTCAATAATCCAGTAAATGAGAACATGTGATTCTAGATTATATTTTAACTGATTACTTTGCACTCATGACAATGAATTGTCCACATCCTCATTTCAAATTCTTTAGATGGGCTATGTATGTGAGACTCAAGTCAACTGCCTCCCTCCCAAGGTTCCTATACAGGTAGTCCTCACTTAACAACACTAATTGGATCCAGAATTTCTGTCACTAACCATTGCGGTCGTAAAGCACAATGTCACATGACCCACTTAGTGATGGAAATTCTAGCATTTCCAGATGCCATTGTTAAGCAAATGACCGCGGGTCACTAAACAAGGACCACTGTGACCTCCTGCTGGCTTCTCCATTGACTTTGCTTGTAGGAAGCCAGCAAAAAAGGTCACAAATAGAGATCACATGACTGTGGGACACTGCAACCATCTAAAGTATGAGGATCACTTTTAAGTACCACTCGTTCAGCACCATCATAAGTTCAAATGGTCACTGAATGAGTGGTTGTTAAGCGAGGACCACCTGTATACACATTTTGAAGGAAACAGCATACAAGGGTACTAACAGGATTTTTAATGACTACTTTGAGGCACTAGAAAACCTTTCCCCCACTAATTTTCCCATTATATTTGATGTAAAAAGCCCCACCTGCTAATTAAGAGATGAACATACTCAGTGCACTGCAACTTAGCACCAGTTAATTACCTCTGCAGTGCTTAAATGAAGATATAAAGAAATTCCATAAACTGGTACTTTCCAGTCAGGATGACTCCTTGAAATATTCAACACATCTCTCAAGAGAGGGTGCAAATAGTTACCTTTCTTGATTTTTGGAACAGGGGCAATGGGGCTGCCATTGGTGGCTGAGGTCAGTCCCAAGGTTGGTACTTGAATCTTGGGTGAAGACAGCATGGTATGAGTGCCGCTGGGGGAGTAAGTAAAGATTGAACCACTGAATCCTTGCCGACGGCCCTCTCGCCGGTTGCTGTCAATGGCAGCTTGGAGTTCATTGGGATTGCTCAGCCCTCTTTTTTCGCACTCGTATGGATATAAGTACTTCATATATCTTTTGAAAAAAAAAAGATACACAAAAATCACTGTTGCTTAATTTAATGCAGAGTCCAAGAAACAACAGCAATTTATTATATTTTAAATCTGCCAATGTGTTACATTGGTGGATTATATAATTCTGCCTACTAGAGCAATACAGGTAGTCCTCGCTTAACAACCGCTGTTCAGTGACTGTTCGAAGTTATGACAGCACTGAAAAAGGAGACTTATGACTGTTCCTCGAAGTTGTGGCTGTCACAGTGTCCCTGCAGTCACATGATTGCAATTTGGGCACTTGGCAACTAGCATACATTTACAACAGTTGCAGCATCCTGCAGTCATGTGATTGCCATTTGCAACCTTCACAGCTGGCTTCCGACAAGCAAAGTCAATGGGAAAGCCAGCAGGAAGTTATAAGTTGCGATCATGTGATTTCGCACTTAACACCTGCAGGTGATTCATTTAACCACCACAGCCAGAACTGATGTTGTAAGTTGGCATAGTCATGTGATGTTTTACTTTACAACTGCATTGCTTAGCAACAGAGTTGCTGGTCCCAATTGCGGTTGGTAAGTGAGGACAACCTGTATAGGGTACAGAGGGATGGGCTAGTTTTTAAGAGAGAATAATAGTTTAACCTAATCTGAAGTACTAAACATGGCTCTTAAGGAAGGAGCTCTTTTGTTTCACCTACTTTGCCCCTGTAAGCATCTCATTCCTGTATAAAAGAGACATAAGATTGAAACTGAACAAAAATTACTTAACAGCACCACATTCTTTAACATTTATACAGGAATTAAAAGTGGTCTCCCTTACAAGTCTGTTACGGCAACTCTAAGAAAATAATGTATGAAATGCTACTCAGAAACCTTGTATGACTGCTAATTGGGTCCATGTTCCATTTGCTGACCATAGCTTTTTCTCAAATATGGATTTTATCATAATGCTGCTATAGCTGTATAATTCTTTATCTGGCTTTATTGTTTCACTGGTCTGAACATTTTTTTGTTATAACAACATTGCTGGTTCTTTATTATTGCAGTTTTGAATTCTTAACATTTATATTGTTAATCATTTAGTTATATTTAAATATCTTTAAATTTTTTATTGATCCTGTGTCATCAAGTCAATGTTGACCCTTAGAGACCACACAGATGGATTTTCTTTTGGATGAGCTGTCTCCAAGCTTCATTGTTGCAACTGAGTCCATCTCCCTTGCTGCTGGTGGCCCTCTTTTTCTCTTTCCTTCCACCTTTCCCAGCATTATGGATTTCTCAAGAGAGCTGGGTCTGCTTGTGTCCAAAATATGGTAATTTGATCCTGGTCATTTGTGCTTCAAATCAGAAATCTGGATTAATTTATTTGCTTTCTTGGCTATCCATGCTATCCTCAAGTTGTTGTTGTTCAGTCGTTAAGTCGTGTCCGACTCTTCGTGACCCCATGAACCATATTGCGCCAGGCCTTCCTGTCCTTCACTGCCTCCCTGAGTTTGCTCAGTTTCATGCTCATTGCTTCAGTGATGC